TTTTTTTTTTTGTGCTTGAATTTTCTTTTCTTTAGACTGTTTTTTTGTTTGTTTTGTAAGCTTAGGTTGCGGTTAATTGTACTTAACTCTAAGGGTAAAGGTTCGGTTGGGTGTAACCGCTTTGATCTTAGGTAGGTGATTAATGCTTCATTATGTTGGTTAGGTTCTAGCTCACCTTAGAGTGGTGCTCTCATTTCTCGGCTTTCCGGATTGTATGAACCTTTTATTTATTGTATTATGAGTATTGTCTATCGTTTGGAAAAAAAAAATAAAAAATTCATCAGCACAATCTGGCTAAACAATAATGGAAAGTGAATTGAGTTTAAAGTCGAATAATATTACGAGTGAAATGATGTAAAATAAGAAAAAGTTGCATGGGTGTTGGAAAAAAATACAGACATGCATTGGTAGTTCCTGGCCAAAATGGATATATATATTTATGAACTATGTACACTTCCAAAATGGAAATGGAAAAAGTGTTCTATCCGAACTTAAAAGCTGCAATTAGGAACACCACAAAAATTGGAGAAACCAGAAAAATAATATACGGCAAGGCTTCATTCAATCCACCACCATTAGATTCAGCCTCGTTTGGTGGATAATTTTTCTTGCTTTGCACAAATGCATCAAAATAGTCTTGATAATCAGTGCTGAGAGCAGAACTGGGCGAGGTGTTGAACTTCATCATTTCCATTGCCTGCCGAAATGAAATTATTTACGGCATTCAAACTAATAAACGAAAACTATTACGGCCTGCCTAGAATTGGAATCAACAATTTGTCGTCAAACACATTGATTACTAGACAACAGTCAGTACCCTAAGAAACCACTCGTTTTTCATCAACATTGAAATTCAGTTCTTTCAAAGAATTTTTTCTCCTTGAAAAAGAAATATTATTTTTTTCATTTAACTCTCTTAAACATGGAAGGCAAAAGATACCTTTACCTGGAAGCCAAATACGAATTGTTTAGCCTTCTTGCTCACTTTCGGGCTGGGGTGAGATTGAAGTTTCTCATACATCACGCGCGCCTCATTGGATCTGTCATGCAGTTTTTCACATATGAACATCAGTATATACCAGCAAACTTAACTCCTAATATTAAGCTCTAAAAGGATAAAAAATCCAAAAACCAATAAATAATCACATGAAATGTTATAAACCTGCTTAGTGAGTCCAGACATATAGACCACTGAAGAGCTGCTAACCCATGAAGTTCACTCTGCAAAAGAATATGTGTACCAACATCTTGAATATGAAAAAATTACAAGTTCAAGTCTACATAAATAAATCTGAAATGCTTGATGTCAGAGAATTCAAAGTGATCTGCTAGCAGATTATATTGTGAAAACATGATTACATATAAGAACAACTATGGACCCAAATCACTCATTTCAACTAAGGTTGAGTGCAACTAACTTGTTAAATTTGTACATATCTGGAGCCAGGAATGCAACGAGTATAATTTTCAGTCACAAAAATGCAAGTTTAAATCAATTAGAGAGATCACCTGGAAAGCTAATTTCTCCATGACTTTTTCATAAAAGGGCAATGCCTCCTTCAGTTGACCGAGGTCCATCAACGAGTCGCCGTCTGTCAATACCTAATGCACGATACCACTAGAAACTAAGAAAATAGGCATAATTATAATTCTAGTTGAGAAAAAACAATAAAAGTGGCACAAAATAAAAATTCAGATGTCTTCTAGACTGCATATATTGAATAGTTTTTTACTACATAAAAAACCATGATGCTTTATGGAAACAGACATATATCAGATGTCTACAGAGCATATAACTTTGCAATTATTTTTTATTGTAAATTAACAAATGACCTGTAGTATCTAACTTCAGTCACATTTTTCCAACGGGTAGAATTTAGAACAAGTTAAAAAGGTAAGCAATGTCTATTAACTATACATAGGGCATCGTTATGAACAATACTGGAACCGAGAACAGGAACCAGTGTCGTATAGTAGAACAGTAAACCATAATCATTACTTGCTATTTGATAATATAACCGCACATAGAAGTTGTCCCAGAGCTGAATTATTGGAGTTTGCTGCTTTGAGTTTGGGACCATACTCGTCTCACCAAATAAAAACCCAAAATGAAAAACATAACCGAATGGAGTATAAGTACGTGAAGAAATAAGATTGGAAATTTAGTTAGAATGTCGTTGGAAATTGATCAGCTTTCAGTATATTCAACTGATACATACTAACTTGACCTCAGTGTATAATGCACATAGGCATTTTACATGTTTATGGATGGATGGATGGATGGATAGATAGCATCATAAATATTAGTTTTTGCAGGAAACCACCACTAGAAGATTTCCTTATACCTTCTCACATTCAGATTTTAGCTTTGGATCCATGTTTTGACCAATTTTTCTCTTGTAGGAAGCTACCAACTGCTTTGTACGTGCTTCTTTGGCAGCTCTCTCTTCTGTCGTTTCGAGTACTTCCCCAGGTTGTATATTCCTTCCACCACCAAACTATGCACCAATGAACATAAATTAGGAAAACTACTAAGATTAATATTTTTCAGAAAATAATTAAAATCATAAAATGTTTGCGTAAGAAGTCTTGATGAAATATTTTAAGGATGATTTTTTTAAGGATGATTGTGTACGACATACATATCATTTTAATGTAACATATACTAGGTATTTGGTCCTTTTTAGAGATTCTCAATCTACTATTGGTGAACAAAAGGTAAAGGACATCAGTAGATTCCAAATCGATAAATTTCAATGTAATATTTAATCATTTGAGAAGAATCGGTGCTTCTAGAACAGTTAACAATTTCCCTTCTACGAAACCATTTGAGTACCATTTTCTGGTCATTACTCGAAATGTTTGACAATTGCAGTGAGCATGTTGTTAGTCTACATGCTATCCAAGCAGTCATTCAAGCAAATATACTCAGAGTGATTTCCTACTGACAATTGCAAGTTTCCAGTAAAAGAAACCTAAAACAAATTTTCTCCAGATGAGAGTTCATAGGAGAACAAAAAAATCAAATACTCGGCGTAAATAATAAACAAGAGTAAATTGCATTGCAGCAGGTATATCATCCACGTCACACGATAAAGCCACAAAAACATACTTGAAGTTGATAAGGCTGATCATTGAAGCATAGAATCAGAAATATATGAAAGCACAACATGGAATATACAGATCACCACTAAAAGTTCCATTGAGATGATATAAATCCGGTTCACGTCATAAGGGATCTTAACTGTTTTTGAAATGTTGCTTGGTCTTGGAAAAACTCCCCAAGTGGAAACCTTCGGCTTATAGACATCAGCGCCATTTTCTTGAATGGGGATTTGTGCTTGTGCTGGTAATGTATCATTATTAAACCTTGTCATATCTCCAACAAGTATCTCCACTTCAGGAAAATCCCTTTCTGGAAAAAGGTCTGGCTGTGGGATCAAACCAGCTGGCAACCCTCTACCACTCTTCTTATCCGAGAAGTCAAGCCCCATGAAATCAATACTTGAAACTGTCAAGCCTTCCTTCTTACCAGAAATCTTGGTTGACTGCATCTTTCTGGGACTCTCAGCCCCTCTTATAAGCCCTATGTAATCGAATATAACAAAATATTTCAGGCCTAAAATAGATATCATTTTTCTTTTTTCTTTCCTTTTTTTTTATGCTTCCGTTAGCAAAAAATCCCACAAATGTTAGCTAAGGAGGGTGTATTCGTTTGGGATATATAAAGACTTTACAAGCCTTGAGGTATTCATTTGAGATTTTTAAAAGTCTTACAAAATCATAAGGTATTTAACTTATTTAATACTAGGATTTGTTGAGACTTTTTACGATTTATTGGGAATTCAAAAGAAAAGGCAATATACGAAATCTCACTCCAACTCCCACTTCGAGTAAAGATTTCGCATGATTCCTATTAAATATGAAAATGTTAAAAAGTCTCAAAGTCTCAAAATGGAACTCGAAGTACCAAACAAATACACATTTAAACACAATAGACAGTGGTAAGTACAAACAACACAAACAAATGTTGTATTTTCGATGGATAAAATATGCTGGCTACTCCAAAAAATGACCCAGATCCTAACGAATAATCAATTAGGCTTCAGTTGGGTTGATAAATTTACAGTTGCAGATTCCAAATGCTTCATGACAAATTTGATGACAGATTCTTTTAGGATAGAGCGATTTGGTTGTTTGGAGTGAATTTGAAATCTATCCCCTCAAAATTCATAGCCCCTTCCCTAAAATTTTTCAAATCCCAGTTACTACACCAAGATGGAGTACAGAGATTGACCACGAATAATGTCTTTCGATAACTAAATGATTTTTCCAAAACCACAAATAAAAACTTCCAATATCATTATCAAAATTCTATAATATGCCAAGAGCAGAAGACAATCAATGGACCCAGCAATTTCTTCCAAAAACAACAATACCTGAAGCCGCAGTCACTTCAGTTTCCTCAACTCTCCCAGAATCATTACCCACAAAACCTTTATTCCTCTTATACTCTTTTGCTCTCTCCATAGCACGTTTAACCACTGAAGAAACCTCTTCATCCTTTTCGTTCAATTGACCACAGTCCACGCCAGAATTTTCAACTGCATATGAAAGTCTGTTAGTTGTCTCATACTCCTTCCCCGGTTGTAGCCCGGGATTCACCGGAGCGTCGCCACTAATTTCAGTAGGTTTGGCATCATATGGTTCACGATGAGGCTCGGGAACAGAGTTTGAAGTCGGCTTGTTTTTCTTGTACTCTTTAGCTTTGGCAAATGCCAGCTTAACACGGTCAATTTCTCCATTAGGTTTGGATTCCGGGGAATTTTCCAGAGAAAGGGGATGTTCGTAATCGGAGGATGAGATTTTGGAAGTTTTGAAAGTTGAGTAGTTCTTCTTCGGGTACGCAGAGAATGAGAGTGTTGTTTTCTTCTTGTTTATGGGAACGAGAGAAGAGAACGAAGGTTGTGTGAACGAGGCCATTGAAATGAATGGAGGTCAGCTTTTCCTGTTTTTCGGCATGTTTTTGGTGATAAATAAAAAATCAATAAATATAAGGGCATCTACGCATTTAATTAACATTTTACATTTTCTCTCCTCCACCGCACTAGTTGCGACCCGTCCGATGGGATGACATATTTTTCTATAATATTTTTATATTAACATTAAATTTAATACATATATATGTATAGAGAGAGATGCGTTTCATGAGAATGTTCTCAATGAAATAAATAAGAAAAAATTTTAGTCATCAAATTATATGATCCAATAACTAAAAAGAAAGTCAAATTAATACCTTCATTAAGGATATTTTAGACTTCATTAGTAATATAAGTGTGATATGGATTATTATAACCACTAGGCTGAACCGGTCTATTGACCGGTCAAGGAGGTCGTATTACGAGGAAGTCAAGGAAATCGAGCAGTTAACCAGTCGACCAAGTAAGGTTGTCGACCAAGCTACCCTTTGACCAGATACATGATCGAGCAACCTATTCGACCTCAACAGGTCGACTACCTCGAGGACTTAACACCACGCTGTTCGGCCTAGTCATAGGCGCGTGAGGGAGCCTCTGACAGAATTCCAGGAAAATATTTACCCCATGTGCAGGGGGACACGTGTCGAGAAGGTAGTGGTGGATAGCGATAACCACCCCTGACAACCTACCCCATGTGCAGGAAGACAAGCGTCCAAAGAGGATTGGTGCAGGTGATAGTGGCGACGGCTACCTCTGACACACGCGTTTGGTGTGTACGGACGGGCAGTTAGGGCAGACAGCTCATCAAATCCGGGCAGTCCTAGGTCAGGTATCTCACCCCTATATAAAGGGGGTGAGCCTTTCTTCTTCAACACGATCATTATATTACTTACTCTTGAAAATTGATTGAACATACACTGACTTAAGCTTCGGAGGCTCTTCACCGGAAAACCCCTCCGGTGTGGGAGTTCTTTGTAGGTGCACGACGTTCAACCGGCAAGAAGGAAGGCGATTATTCGAGTTCCAGCCGGTCGAGAAGTTTTGTGTTACCATTTGGCGCCGTCTGTGGGACTTTCGTTTGAAAAGGTGTGCTTGAAGCTCAGCTATGGCGGACGGAATTCCCAAAAACTTACAGTCAACGTTCGATGATGCTTGGACGACGACCAGGCCGTTGGGACTAGGCCCTCCTCCGGGTTTTTCTGGCCCATCGCAAACGCCGACACTCCCACACCTGTGCTCCAAGGTGTGGGAGCGGCGACGGCAATTCCCGGAGGAGACGACGGCTCCAATCGTGCTCAGGAGGCTCGCGCGGCGGATGCGGCGGCGATGCCACCACCACCACCACAAAGCTCAAAGGCAGCGCAACCAGGGGGAGTGGGAGTGCAACTGGGAGCGACGGTGGCGCAGCTGGGAGGAACGGGGGTGCAACCAGGAAGAGCGATGGCCCAAGGAGGAGCACCGCCGCGAGCAGCGGTTCAGGTCCCCGACCAGCAGGTGATAATGACTAGGCAGGAGATGCAACAAATGGTGGCGGAGGCAGCTGCGCAGGCGG